GCCACCGGCGGCGGCGGGTGTGCTCCATCGGTCATAGCCGACTCTGAGCCAGACGGCGTCAGAGGAGGAAGAGAAGGAGGGAAAAGGGAGGAAAGGCACCTGGCGACTCGCACCTGATCCAAGCATTCAGAGTGAACTGCGAACGCAACTAGGATGCATGCTCTCTTGGCGGATACCATCCATCCACCTCTACTCCTAGCACTAATACCGATACTGCGTGCGTGTGCGGATCATTGATCCTGCTCCTGTGCCTTGATATCCTCATTATCATCCGTACTGTCATGTTTGTTGCTGGTCCTCATCCTACATCATATTCTGCTTCAGCCTCTCATGTCTACTATTCCCCCATCATACGCATCCACCGTCCTCCTCCCACTCATGAGCCTCCGCCACCTGCTGCGCAATCCTCCCTCTCCTCCTGATCCTACTCCTCACATTCCCCATCCTTATGCTGCGCGTATTGCCGTTACTGATGGTACTGATGCACCTCCTCGCCTCTTCCTTCACCTCCTCATCCTCCTCCTCCTCGTCCTCCTCCTCCTGCTCTCGCCTTAGCGCCGCGCACATTCGTTTTCAAAATTTGCAAGAGCTTCACGGGTTGAGGGCGGGTGGTTTTCAAAATGTGGCTCTCGCCGTAGCGCCGCGCACATTCGTCTTCAAAATTTGAAAGAGCTTCACGAATTGAGGGCGGGTCGTTTTCAAAATGTAGCTCTCGCCGTAGCGCCGCGCACATTCGGTTTAACCATCTGCAAGACTTTCACGGATTGAGGGCGGTTCATTTTCAAAATGTTGCTCTCGCCTTAGCTCCGCGCACACTCGTTTTAAGAATGTGCAAGAGCTTCACGGATTGAGGACGGTTCCGTTCACAATGTGGCTCTCGTCTCAGCACCGCGCATATCGTTTCAAAAATGTGCAAGAGCTTCACGGCTTGAGGGCGGTTCCTTTTCAAAATGTGGCTCTCGCCTTAGCGCCGCGCACATTCGTTTTAAAAGTTTGCAAGAATTTCTCGGATTGAGGGCAGTTCCTTTTCAAATGTGGCTCTCGCCTCAGCGCCGCGCACATTCATTTTAAAGCTTCGCAAGAGTTTCACGAATTCCCATGATCAACGTACCAGACACGGTGTGTTGGAAGGATTCATGAGGATGCGGGTGCAAAAGTTATGTTGGTGTTAAATGGCGTTCTGGCACGATTCAGGATCGTCAAGACGCAACAGCAAGGTTTATCCGTGGCGTTAGAATCCCAGGAACAGTGTTTCGGCATGCTTCACGGTCTCCTAACTGTTGTCTTCCAACGAGGCAGGTCCCTCTGTGGAAATGAACCGTTGTAGGGGCCTATGAAGAGGGAGCTTGGGGGGAGGGGTTATTCCAACATCGTTGATGACCCTTGGGTTTACACTGGTCCTCCTCCTCCTCCTCCTTCTCCTCCTCCGCCTCCTCCTCCTTTCGCCACGCCTCGCCTGTGCCGCCAACGGCCGAGATGCCTCCGTCCTTGGGCTTCTTGTGGATGATGCCCACAAGCTCGTCCATGATCATGTTGTACCGCAGCTCGCCTTCAAAGAGCTAGACACATTCGCTGCGGTTAGCAAGCGAGGGCACGATGGCCAGGCAGCGCCAAAAAATAGGCGCCGAAACCGTGAGGGCTCATCTTCGCTCCTCTCATTCTTCCCCTGCTCCTCATCCTCTTCCCACACAATGGATGGGCAGCAGTGCGACGGCAAGCGGAGGAGGTAATAGAGCACCGGCGTGGGCAGAAGCGGATTCGAGGCAGCTGAATCAGCACGCTGGTCGCCCTCCACGATGCGCGGGCAGAAGCGCTGGTCGACGAGCATGCCTCGCGAGGAATCGTATCTACAATTGATTGCTCACTCAAGTGCCACCATAGTTCCCATCTCTTTCCGCACTGCACTCCTAACAGCTCCAACTGGCTTTTCTCCATTTCTTCTAGTTCGCTCTCACCTCGCCGCTGATTCTCTTCCCTCTCCCCCTCCCCGTTCGCTCATCCCCACTCCTCCATCCCTCCCTCATCTGCTGCCTACCTGTCTTCATTCCCTTCAAAAGATCACCCCCGTTCTCACCCACCTGGTCACCCGTCTCCGTCCATCGCCCCATCATTCCCCCTCCCGCCACTCCTATTCTCTCCACCCCTCCCTCCCTCACTCCCTCAGGCCATCCCTTCCTGCCAACTCCGCTTCCGCCCTCGCCCGTCGCCCCCCCTCCAACTTGCAAAGGGACTGGCCTCGAGAGGAATGAGCTCCCCCCGCATGCTCCTCACTTTCCCTCCCAATCCCCCCTCCCTCGCCCAAAACCCCTCCCCCACTCCCCACGTCCTCTCCGAGCCCCTCCATTCCCCGCTCCCTCCTCCCTGTTCCCAGCCGCCCTTCCTGGATGCCTCCTAGGTGGGGTCCCGAGTAGATAAGGTCGGAGGATCGCGCCGCATCGCCAACGCCGACGCATCGGCGATGTATCGGCTATGCATCGACGACGCATCGGCGACGCATCGGCGACGCATCGGCAACGCATCGGCGACGCATCGGCGACCTCGGCGTGGAGAGAATCGGGCTCCGCATCGAGCCGCATCGCCGATACATCGGCGATGCAGCGCGATCCTCCGAAACCATCTAGGAGGCCTAGATCCCTGTTCCCAGCCGCCCTTCCGCCTCCCCCCTCTTGGCCTTCCATTTCGGAGAAGAACAAGCGACACGGTCATAAACTTTCGGAGGTCCCAGCGGATTTCTCGGGTCGGCGCTGGAAGCCCCTGGCGGCGCCTCCGGCGAGGGGGCCCGGCGCCGAACCGTGCAGTCCGCGCGGAGCTCCGAAACTTGATGCTTCCGCATGGGACGCAGAGGGACATGCGAGTACTATGCGTCCTCCTCGGAGGCGTGCGTCCGACACGAACACAGACTATGACCATCTTGTAGTATACCGTTTTCCGAGCGGTACGGCCAGAAAGCGCTTGCCACGACGCATATACTATAAGATTTCTCGGTGCGCGCGTCGCGTCTGGGGGGGCGACGCACACATTCGGCGGTGGACAAACCTCCCTTTAGCGAACCTCCCTTTAGTGAAGACGGCCTGGGACCGAAACCGACGGACCTGGACCCGCAAAAATGACGGCCGCGACGCCCTCTCGCGACCCAAAAACGGCAAATTCGCTAATCGGCGTGTCAGGGTAGGAGGTCTGTCCACCCCCGACATATAGTTTTAGCATGTTGGGGTGACGCCGACCGTACGTCGTTTCTTCTTCCTCGACTCTTCCCTCCGACAGTGCACTGAAGAGTCTGGGCCTCCAGCTTCCTTGCCGCCCTCCAGGTACTTGCCGACGCCCTGGGCGCGAGACGCACCACCGACCCGTCGAGGAAATGAGGGAGGGAGGGAGAAGCAGGAGACGAACAGGGAGGGGAGGGAGGGAGGGAGGGAGGGAGGGAGGGAAGGAGGAGGAGGAAAGCGAGGAAGACGACGAAGACGAGGAAGAGGACGAGGACGAGGAGGACGAGATGGACGAGGGCGAGGATGGCAAGGAGGATGAAAGAGAGGGGGATGATGGTGATGATGATGATGATGATGATGATGGTGATGATGATGATAATGATGATGATGATGTGATGATGATGATGATGGTGATGATGATGATGATGATGATGATGATGATGATGATGATGATGATGATGATGATGATGATGATGATGATGATGATGATGATCATGATCATGATGATGATGATGATGATGATGATGATGAGGAGGAGGAGGAGGAGGAGGAGGAGGAGGAAGAGGAGGAGGAGGAGGAGACGGAGAAGGAGAAGGAGGAGCTGCAGCAGGAGGAAGAAGAGGGAGGACGGGAGAGGAAGGGAGGGAGGCAGCGAGGGCAGGAAGGGCAGCACGAAAGGGAGGTGCAGCAGACATGGGACCCGAACGTCTCCGGACGCTGGACACGGAAGCAACCAGGGCCCGGGCATCTTTTGGGGGCCTCTTGGGACTTGTTTGGCGCCTCATGGGAGCTGCTGGGCTTTCCCCGGCCGTCTCGGGAGCCTCGGCGAGCCCTGGGGACCGCCGCCAGGGAGGCGTCGGGCGGCCTTGGAGGTCCAGGTCCCGGACTTGGCGCTGCGGCCGTTGACGCAGAACTCGACAAACTCCGCCACCGTGTGCTCCTCGGGAGTGGTCGGTGGAGGGGGAGCGGCGAGGAGAGGGGGAGAAGCAAACGGGGAGGTGGAGAGGGATGGGGGGGGGCAGAGGGGAGGGGGAGAGGGGAGGGGAGCGGAGGGGAGGGGAGGGGGGGGAATAGAGAGAGGGTGGAAAAGGGAGAGGGGGAGGGAGAGGGAGACAGAGACGGACTGAAGCAGGCAGACAGAGAGACAGAGAGGCAGAAAGGCAGAGAGACAGAGACAGGGAGAGGGAGGGAGGGAGGGAGGGAGGGAGGGAGGAAGAGAAATGCAGAAGAGAGTAAGGAAGAGGGAGGGAAAGCTGTGGAGGGGGAAGAAGGGGAGGAAGGGCGATGGGGGGAATGGGCCAGCCAGTATCCGCCAGTTGGCTCCTCGGAGTGGTTGTCGTTCGCTTCCATGAGGTCGAGGACCTCGCTGGAGGAGTGGAGCCAGCTCCGATGGTAAAAGAACAAGGCCCCTCCCTCGTCCATTACCGCTCCTGCCTCTTCCTGCCCATTTCTCTTCCTGGAACTCCTCCTCCTCCTTCTCCTCCTCCTCCTCCTCCTCCTCCTCCTCCTTCTCCTCCTCCTCGTCCCTCCCTCCCTCCCTCCCTCCATCCCTCCATCCCTTCATCCCTCCATCCCTCCATCCCTCCTCATCAGCCTCCTCACCCTTCCTGATCTTTCCTCCCTGCTCTTCCCCCCCCTACCGCCTCCTGCTGGGCGCCGGGAGTACATCCGCGAGACGCTGCCCCCCCCACCCCACACACAGGCACCACACAAGGCACCTCTTGGAGGGGCGGGGAGGCTTAGCTGTGTCCTGCACTTCCCCTCCTCCTGTCCTGCTGCCGCGGGCCTCGTCGTCAGTGCAGGAGCGCTCGCCGTAGGTCTTGCAGTAGTTGCCCGCCTTCAGCTTGATGATCCAGATGCCCTCGCCCGAGGAGCCGCGGTTCTGCTTCATCACGCGGGGCTGCGGAGGAGGAGACGGGAGGTAGGAGGGCGAGAGGGAGAAGGAGCAGGAAAGGGAAAGAGGGAAAGAGGAGGAGGGCGCGGGGGAGAAAGAGGGAAGGAGGAAGGAGGAAGGGGAAGAGGGAGTGAGGGAGGGAGAGGAGGGAAGGAAGACGGCAAGGAGGGAGTCGGAGGGAGGAGGGAAGAGGGATTTGGGGAGGAGGGAGGGGCATAGAAAGGTGCAGAGGGGTATGGGGGAGAGGGCGGGCAGGAGGAACGGGAGAACCGGGGAACGGGGGAGCCGGAGAAGGGGGAAATTGGGGATAGGGGTGGAGGGTGCGAAGGACGGTGGGCGAGTGGGCCGCAAGAACGGGAGGGGCGGAAGGCGACAGGGGCAGAAGGGAGTGAAGTGAGCGCGGAATCCGATCGGGTGAGATTGCGCTCGAAGGCTGCCTGACACGGCACGCAGACGACCCCGGCGCACCCTTACCGTAGTTGGGCCAGCCGATGCAGGGGCCACTGCGGGAAAGTACTGGAAAAAGGAAACAGGATGGATATTCAAGCAGGGGCAGGAGCAGAAGCAGACAAAGGAGAGGAGCAGGAGGAAGAGGAGGAGCAGGAGCGCTACCTGGAACGCCATCGTCTTCTTGAAAAGCGTCGCGAACTCAACAGGGTCGTAATATGAATACGTGTCCTGCCCTCCGCTTCTCCTTCGCCTCCCTGCACTCCTTGCTCGGTGATCCGGCCTCCGTCCCTATCACGCGGGGCGAAGAGGCAAGGAGAGAGGGAACAGAAATGGGGGGACGGGGGGATGGATGGAGCGAAGGCGGAAGAGGGGGGCAGCAAGGAGCGAGGAAGGGGGGGGAACTAACGCGTCGGGAACCTGCGAGCTGTCGTCTGGACTCGACCGCCCTCCCACGGACCGGGTCTCCTCCTCCCTGCAGCCGCTGCTGCCCCCCCCCCCCAGCTGCCTGCCGCCAGCCTCCTTGCTTCGCAAGGCAAGACAGGGACGGGGAGGAGGAGGGGAAGAGGAAGGGGACAAGCACCAGGACTAAGACGAGGACGAGGGCGACAACGAGGTGGGGCAGGAGGAGAAAGTGGAGGAGGCGGAAGAGCCGCAATCGACCCCTCTCAGAGTATTCTCTCCATCATCTTTTTCATCTACATATGAGAATGTGTGATATATTCATACATTACATTACATTACATTACATTACATTACATTACATTACATTACATTACATTACATTACACTACATTACATTACATTACATTACATTACATTACATTACATTACATTACATTACATTATATTGTATTACATTCTATTAAATTACATTACATTACATTACATTACATTACATTACATTACATTACATTACATACATACATGCATGCATGCATGCATGCATGCATACATACATACATACATACATACATACATGCGTGCATACATACATACATACATACATGCATGCATGCATGCATGCATGCATGCATGCATGCATGCATACATACATACATACATACATACATGTTGCTGGCTCCCTCACTGTGTTATCCCCCCCTCCTCCTCCCCTGCATCCACCCCTCGTTTTGCCATATCCCACTCAAGCGTCCTCCAGGCCGATGTTCATGTTGGCCACCTGGGCGGGAACGACGGAGGCAGGCCGACGGCTCCCCATCCTTGTAAAAGAAGGTTTCACAAGGCCAGAGGCGCGCGAGATCCCGTGTACGCCTCCATCTTCACCTCCCCGTAGCACCGTCCCATTCTCCTCCTCCTCATCATCATCATCATCATCATCATCATGATCATCATCATCATCATCATCATCAGCAGCATCAGCATCATCATCATCATCATCATCATCATCATCATCATCATCATCACCATCATCATCATCAGCAGCAACAGCAGCAGCCGCATCATCATCATCATCAGCATCATCATCAGCATCATCATTATCATTATCATCATCATCATCATCATCATCGTCATCATCATCATCATCATCATCATCATCATCATCATCATCATCATCATCATCGTCGTCGTCGTCGTCAGCAGCAGCAGCAGCAGCATCAGCATCATCATCATCACCATCATCATCACCACCACCGCCACCACCACCACCATCATCATCATCATCATCAGCATCATCATCATCAGCATCATCATCAGCATCATCATCATCCTTCTCCTCATATCCTTCTCCTCCTCCTCCTCCCCCTCCTCCTCCTCCTCCTCGTCCCCCTCCTCCTCCTGCTCATCCTCCTCCTCTTCCTCCTCCTCCTCCCCCTCCTTCTCCTCCTCCTACCCCTCCGCCTCCACCACCCCAATCCTCTCAATCATCATTGCTACTCCAAGGGAACCGCGAGGCAATCAATACTCCCTGCGCGAGTTCGGAACGTTTCGAAACTTCCTGCGGGAGCGCAATAAGCAAACCTTACTCCCCAAGCATTAAACAAACCCACGCATGCTGCTGGAACTAAAATGCAGTACTGCATACCGAAGTACGATACAACACGACATTCCCTGGGAGGGCGCATCGCAACAGACAATCACGTGCCCAATGCAGGAGTGCAGAAAACTAGTTCTCCATGGATCAAAAACACGGAGCCCCGAACCTAACACGAAAGCGCGACATCGGTGTACTCAGGAATTCCTCAAGTGGCATCCTGGGTCTAAGCTCGCAAAGTCACAAGGACACCGTGCAACCCAGGTTCGACGAAGTCTGCGACAGTAGTGATGTTGTCCCGAATGGTCATGCTTCAACTATCCATCCTCGCCCTCTCTCTCTCTCGCGCTCTCTCTCTCTCTCTCGCTCTCTCTCTCTCTCTCTGCATCACTCTATACTACTTCAGGACCCATGTTTTGCATGTATGTGTCTGTGTGTATGTGTATGTGTATATATAGTTACATGTGTATGTGCACGCCTGTACCTCTACATGTCTATATATATATACACACACTAGAACCACAGCGCGCGCTTCGCACGCGCTCAGGTTCGAGCTAGGCTGGATAGGCTAAAGCATGGAAGATCATGTTTAACGCTCCTTGCATCCAGGGATGCTCTTGGAGGCCCTGCGCAAGCTTCGGAAACGTATAGAATGGAAAATGCGGAAACGCGAAAATCCTCATTCTCCTTTACGGATTCGACGATTTGGGACCCTCGAAGGCTTGCTGGGATCTTTCTTGAGTGGGGGCCTTAATTCTGGTTTGTTGCGCAAGAACGCACGGGGGGCGAACATGAACAAAAAAAAGGAATTGTGGGAATTCCTTTTGCGGGTTAGAAGTCTCCTGGATGCATGCCATGGCATGATGGGAGATTTGCCGGGGCCTGTTGGGGGGCTGTTGGTGCCTCCTGGGGGCCTCCCGGGAGTGTCTGAAGGCATCTCGGGCGCCTCGAGAGCCTTTGGGAGAACCTTTGCCATCTTAGGGCAGAGCGCTCGAAAGGCTTGGGGAGGTCCCCTCTTGTGGCTCCCTCTTAGCGCGCGCTCATAGGTTTTCGATTTCTGGCCGCCTTTTTCCCAAGAGAACACGAAGACGGTCCAAGACAGCGTCAGAGAGTTCAACCGTATTCCCGATAAATACTCGACTTGTGACCCCGAAATCTCGATGGGGCTCGGGGTGAAGTTCAATAAGGGAATCGTTGGAATTCCCTATTTTCAAATCGGGTCTCCTACCATGCAGTGCGCAGGAAGGGGGGGGCCTAAGAAGCCTGCAGGGGGTTCCTGGGAGGCAGTTTTGAAGCCTCTCCGAGGTTGTTGTTTAAGCCTTGTGGGTTTCTGTCCCAACCCTCCTGTGGTGTTGGGTCCTCGTTTCGAAGAAACGGTCCCCGCATTCGTTCCCTCTTCCTTTCCCTCCTCCTCCCTCCTCCCGTCACACACCCACTTCGGCATACCCCTCACACGTTCCGTGGCCCCAGAGAGAGCTCCACCGAAGGCCCCAGTGGCTGCGCCCGCATGCGTCCCCCACACCCATTTCGGCAAACCCCTCACACGTTTCGTGGCCCCATAGAGATCTCCACCGAAGGCCCCAGTGGCTGCGCCCGCATGCGTCCCCCACACCCATTTCGGCACACCTCTCACACGTTTCGTGGCCCCATAGGGAGCTCCACCGAAGGCCCAAGTGGCTGCGCCCGCATGCGTACCCCATGTGGAGTAGCATTGCAATCCTCGTGCCATTCTTCCTCTTGGTCTTGTGCTTCTCTCCTCCCCTGCTGTTGCCTCCATGCTGGCATGCACGTTGTTTCCATGGCCGTATAGGGCCCTTGAGTCTGTGGCATGCCGCGTACAGAAACATGGCATCGTAACACATCTTGTTGTGTATCGGCGGTGGGCAAACCTCCCTTTCATAAACCTCCCCTTAGTGAGAACGGCCTGGGACCGAAACCGACGGACCTGGGCCCGCAAAAATGACGGAAGCGACGCCCTCTCGCGAACCGAAAACGACCAATTCCTTAATCGACGTGTCAGGGTAGGAGGTCTATCCACCTCCGAGTGTAGTATTGCTTCCACAGTTGGTATCTGGAGCGTGAGTTGACAGATCCACAGCATGTCTCGCAGTGAATCCCCTGGAGCGCGCGATGGCCTGTCAGATGAGATTCGTCAGCAAATCGTTGCTGCCGCGGCTGCGGCGGTGGCAGAAGCAGTGAGGACTGGAGTGCCGCGTTCGACGCCCGGTCCCGAGGAGACGTACACAGGTCGGTGGGACTGGCAGTACGGCCGCTGGGAGCGGCGAGGAGAGGAGTGGATCTTGGCAGACGCCCTAGAACTGCCCTCGCGCCATGCCAGCCACCACCGAGCAGACCCCCAAAGCCGCTACGTGGACAAGGAGCCACCTCCGGCTTGGGACGCACTGCACCCAGAACAGAGTTGGAGCACGTACCGCCGTTCTTCAGACTACTGGTTACAGAACAAGGACATCCCAGCGACGAAGCATAGGACTTTACTCTGGAAGGCGCTGTCCGGTGATGCTCACTGTCCGGTGATGCTCACTTGATAGTCAACCACCTGAAAGACGAGCAATTTCAGGGGGACGTAAGACCTGGGTACAGGGGACTCGGAAATCCCCGACGAGGTCGTCAAAAAAATGACGAGGCCGAGCCTGCATTTTGACGAGGCCTCCCGCTGCAGACATCCCACGAAACTCCTCCTCGTCAAAATCCGAGGCGCGGTCGTCAAAAAACGATGGCGAACCCGAGTCCTGGCAAACCCGGGTCTTACGCTCCCCCGACAATTGCAAGACCCAAGGGCCAGAAAGACAATCCGGAACATCCTGGGGCAGGCTCACAAGCGCAGTTCTGAGCTCGAAGATCAGGACGATTTCGACACGGCCGTCTACGGTCTTCACAGAGAACGCAACCAGAGCCTGCTGAGGCTCGCGAACATCGCCCGGTCTGCTCTTCTCAAAGCGGATTCCCACGGCGACCCACTGCCAAACCGCCGGAAGGGCATGATCTGCCTCAAGCGTGCCAAGATGCCTGGGCACTTGGAGGACCACATCATGTCCAAGACGGGCGGCTCTCGGAGGTTCACAGACATCCTGGATGCAATCCGGATGCTCTCCCGCAGGCCGACGGCTTCGCAGGCGGGAATTTTCTTGGACGTGGACGAGCGGTGCGACTCCGAGGAGGAGCAGGAGGGCGACGAAGCCTTCGTGGACTACGACAGCGAGGGTGGCGAGCTCAGCCCCCTGGACGACAGCGACCTGCAGGGCGAGTACGACGAGGACGATGTCCTGTGGGCGCTGTCACAGTTTCGCCAGGCCAGGGGAGCCTCCCAAAAGGGCAGACCCCAGGGCTGCTGCCAGATTCGCCGGAATCTGCAGCAGAGTCGGATTGCCCACGGGTGGTCCGGCGGCCCCGCTGGAAGCTCGCAGAGCGGGTCGCGGCAGAATCCAGGGCAAACGCCCAAGGGCCGCGGCAAGGGCAACAGGGTGCCAGCGCCTCCGCGGCCGCACCCGGCCACGCGGCCGCCGCAGGGCCTCCGACTGAAGCCAGTCTCTGCGCTCGAAGCTCGCACGCGCTGCAGAACGTGCCACCAGCTGGGGCATTGGTCTTACCGGTGCCCGAACCAGCAGCAGTCGCAGTCTTACCGGTGCCCGAACCGGGCCGCGGCGGCACTTGTCTCATCCACCGAACCAGAGTCGTTCTTCTGTGGCATGGTTGCTTCCTCGTCGCAAGTGGGCCACAAGCAGGACCGCAGTGCTGAGCTCAGCGCGCGGTCTCCTGAGCAGGAGAGCCCACACTGGGGCGGCGAGGACAGCGACGGCGGGTTCGGGCAGGTGGACGAGCAGCCGCCAGAGGAGGTGCCCACGGCGCCTGGCCTGACGCCGAAGACAGCGAGTGGCTCGCTAAGAAGCGTCGCCGCGCCGCCGGGCCGAGCGTGGGAGGAGGAGGAGGAGGAGGAGGAGGAGGAGGAGGAGGAGGCGCCAGCACTGGCACCACCAGAACAACTCGCCCTGCGCCTGAAAAGGTGGAGGCGGTTCGCTCAACGCTGCTTCGTCGACCTCGCGGACGCGGCGTGGCAGGCCGTGTTTTCGCGGTGGCGCTCAGCCTCGTTGCAAATACGGGAGCACGAGCGCCGCCACACAGTCGAAATGCAGCGATCGCACTCGAATCCGTACGCGCAGCAGCTGATCTGCGACACCAAAAAGGGGGGGGGGGGGGGGGCTAATCTGGTGTACATCCCCACTGCACGTGCCTTGGCCGCCCCGGCCAAGAGAAACACCAAACCAACCAAGAACACAAGATCTCTGGGTCAAAGGGCCCAGAATATCCAGAGCGACGCCACGGAGAAGATGGACGAGTGCCCTCGGTGACAGCGTGGCTTTCACAAGTTCGACACACAAACCAGAACAATCCTCAGGTGCGACGGCTGGAACACAGCAAACCAGGTCTGCACATTCATCAAAACCCTTCCCGGAGAAGATCTGGAGTGCGGCCGGCAAGAAGCCCGAGCCGGAGTGCTGATCTCAGCGCCTGGCTCCGGGAACAGATCGACTGGACCTCGCCACCACGTCTCGGTCGGTGGTGCCTCGGGAGGTGGCTCTGGACATCTAGGAGGCGCGCTTGGCTTAAGCCAGTCAGACCCTGGATCGACCCTGACGCCAGGGGACCTCCAGAGGCAGCGGAAACAAGTCCAACAGCTCACCCAGCACCTGCGGCAACAACTCCAGCACCTGCCCGGCGCCGGCGCATCCACTGGGACCCTGCCGTCGCCGACAGCAGCGACCGACCCCACCACACCTATGCCCTCAGCACGGGCGGGCGAGCCTCAGCGCTGTCCTCCCCGGACCTGGCCTCGACCGCCATCGCCTCCTCCTGGGTGCCCGGCACCCACCTTGCGCTTCTTGAACGCTGGCACGGCCTTGCGGATCTTGCTGAGCTCGTCCAGCAAGGTCTGCTGGTGGGCGACGGCCTGCTCGTGGAGCCTCTTGGCCTCGGGCGGCGTGCTGGGCGAGCGCCTGCTGGTGCCGTTCCTGCGACTGGCGGTCTGCAGCCTGCACCTGCTCCAGCTTGCCGCAGAAGGCGAGCATCTCCTCCTTGGTGCTGCCATTCTCACAATCGTCGAGCGTCTCCAGCAGCTGCGGCTCGACCGTGAAGTCCAGGATGGATGGCGAATCGTCTCCCTGCTGCTTGCCGAAGGCGGTGGTGGCGAGGAAGTACTCCTCCGAGGTGGTCTCGCGCCCGGCGTTGGCCTCGTATGTCTCCTCCAGCAGTTCGGCGCGGCTCTGGATGGCCTTGGCGAGCGCCTCCTCACGCCACTGCACGTCTTTCTCAGCCTGGAGCAGCTCCCTGGTCTTGCGTTGCTGGGTGTTCTTGGCCGTTTCCAGCGCCCGCCACAGGTTCTGGCCGGTGGCGTACGGCTCGGCGACAGTTGCTGGAATCGCAGGCGGAGCCACCTTCTGCGCTGTCTCCCGGAGCGCCTTGCCCGTGGCGGGGTCCGTCTTCTCCAGCGTTGCCAACAGGGTCTCCAGCGTGGTTGACTTCGCAGACCCCCATGGCAGCGAAACTGGTCCACCTGTCGCCCTGTGGCCACCACGCTTCTGCCAGGGAGCGGTGCTCTCGTAGGGTTCCAGCCACTGGCCGCAGACACACCAACCTCCCTGCTTGGCCAGCCTCCAATTGTAGCACCATCGTCCGCACGCATCGCAGACTGTGAACGGTTTGCCTTTGACCATGCTGCGGCTTGCGAAAAGCGATGTCGCACGGGCCTCTCCCGCCGCAACTGAACTCTCAGCGCGCTCAAGAAACCATGGGTGATGCCCAAACGGCTTGAGCCTGGAGGAGGAGGAGGAGGAGGAGGAGGAGGAGGAGGAGGAGGAGGAGGAGGAGGGGAGGAGGAGGAGGAGGAGGGGGAGGAGGAGGAGGAGGAGGAGGAGGAGGAGGAGGAGGAGGAGGCGGAGGAGGAGGAGGAGGACGACGACGACGAGGGAGTGAGGGAGGGAGGTCCCCCGAGCCTCCTGCCGAAAAGCTCCCCCGAGCCGCAGAGGCGAGGCCCGCGCCGGCGGGCCCTCCGGGCCAAGGTGGCCGGCCGCCTCGCCTGGCCGGCCGCCTCGCCTCCACACGGAGAGAGAGCGCCCGCCCCGCGGCCCGCCGGCCCGCTCGGCCGCCCGGGTCCGCTCGCCCCCCTCCTCCTCCTCCTCCTCCTCCTCCTCTCCTCCTCCCTCCTCCCTCCTCCCTCCTCCTCCCTCCTCCTCCTCCTCCTCCTCCCCCTCCTCCTCCGTGGCGGCCGCCAGGCCGCTCGGCGGCGTGAGGCCGTGGTCGGCGGCGAGCGAGGGGGGAGAGCTTTCGGGGCTCGAGGTTCGAGGTGTTCGGGCGGTTTCGTCGGTTCTCGGCGGTTCTCCAGTCTCGGGATGCTGGCCAGCAGCTGCGCCGCACCGAGGGCGTTCCGGGGGTGCCCGGAGCGTCCCGAACGACCGCCGGAGACCCGAGATCGAACCCCGAAACCAGATTCGGCGACGCGCCCAGGGGGGAACTGAGAAGGAGAAGGCCTTCTCAGAATGAAGGGGCCCTTGGACACGCAATTAAATACACACAAATAAAAATATCCCCCACACTTTCGCATATTTCCTGGGTTTTTGTCTTCCCCCCCACTTCTCATATTTTCTGATATTTTCCTGGGAGTCGACGATTAATTGTGTCTGTGTGTTTTTCCCCTCCTGACAGAAGGCGGCGGGACTTCTCAGAAGCCCCCGCGCCTTCTGAGAGGTTTTTGTCTGTGTTCAGGGAAGGCTTGGGAAACTTCTCGGGAGGCTGGGGCACTTCCCCCCCTCGCGCGTCGCCGACGTGGGACAACCGCGCGTGGGTCGGGCTCTCGGCCACGGCCACGGCGTGAGGAGCTGGGGCGTGGAAGGGTCCGCACACGGAGAATCGAGAGAGGACGGAAGAGACGGGGGGGAAGGGGTGGAGACTGAAGGGGGAAAGGGGAAGGGGAAGGGAAAGCGCAGAGGGAAACGCAAGTGGAAAGTGAGGGGGGATAGGAGAAGTGAAGCAAGGAGAGGGGGGATAGGAGAAGTGAGGGGAAGGGTAAACGGAATGGGAGAGGGGAAGGGAGGCGGAGAGGGAAAGAGAGAAAGGGAGAAGTGACAGGATAAGAAACACGGAAGGGGAGAGGGAAACGAAAAGTGCAAGGGCACTGGGAAAAGGAGATAAAGAGGCATGGGAAGAGGAGAACGGGAAACGGCCAGGACAGGGAGAACGGAACGGGGGAACGGGGAAGGAGAGGGGACAGGGAGGGGAGGGGGAACTCGAAACTGGGGAGGGGGCAGGGGGCAGAGGGAGGAGCAAGGCGGGAGGGGGGAAGGGAGGGCAACCAGGACACCGGGCAGGAGGGCGGCGGGGGGGCCCGCCTTGCACAGCGCATCCTTCGCCCCCATGAACTCCATCACGTCCGGGGACGGCCAGACCTTGCAAAGGCCCAAGATCATCCTCATCCTCCTCCTCCTCCTGCTCCTGCTCCTGCTCCTCCTCCTCAAGCACCTCATCCTCCTCCTCCTCCTCCTCCTCCCCCTCCTCCTCCTCCTCCAAGCCCACGGCTCTGCCAGGTGGGGAGGGGCTCAGCAGCAATGTTGCCATGTCACATTGTCTTTCTTGCTTCTCTTCTGCTGGTGCGAAACGAGAGGTCGAGCTGGCGGGCCATGTTGAGGGCCCTGGGTTATAATCCGATGCATTTCAACACAGCGGACGGGGTGGAGGAGGTGGTGGGAGAGACTCGTAACTTCGATGTCGTCCTCCTCTCGGGCACTCGGTGCGGGACCCGCCTCGCGGACGCCCAGGCCCTCACGCGCCGCGTGGGGGGCCGCATCACCATCGAGGCACCGCACACTCCCTCCCCCATTCTCCAGCAGCAGCTGCGGCTGCGCAGTCATCCTCGGCCCGTTCATCAAGGCCGGCGATGTTCGGAGAGTATGGGGGAGTCCTGCAGAGGCGGGGGGCAGAGGAGTTCCTGTTCGCGTCAAACGTGGCCCTCTTGACTGACTATTGTGATACTAGTTTGTATTATCCTCCCAAACCGACAAGTTCCCAAAAAACGGCTTACTTCAAAACGGTTAAGATCCTGACGGACTGGTTTGAGGCTATCCTGGGGTCGTTTCCTGCACGTTGTTTGCCACTCGTATTCGGGGACATAAAGACGGGATGGGAGGAATGGCGTGACGGCTCGTGGCAGAATGCACACTCGACGGCGATCGGTGCCCCTACCCAGGAAAAGTTCAAGCGTGGTGCTGGCAACCTGTTCCGTCTGGCCCTCGAACGGCACCATCTAATTTGAGGGAGTTTCTGTGGAACTCACGTCATCCTCACCCCCGGCGCGAAGAGCACGAGCCCAGAGCCGCCTCCGGCACCGTTTCCGGACAGATCCGGTGGATCCGGTGACGAATCCCAAACCGGCGCCCTCGCTTGAGACATCCTCACAAAACCGGCCCCGGGGGAGGTGCCCAGAGGAGCCCAGAGCGGCCTCCGGCACCGTTTCCGGACAGATCCGGTGGATCCGGTGACGAATCCCAAACCGGCGCCCTCGCTTGAGACATCCTCACAAAACCGGCCCCGGGGGAGGTGCCCAGAGGAGCCCAGAGCGGCCTCCGGCACCGTTTCCGGACAGATCCGGTGGATCCGGTGACGAATCCCAAACCGGCGCCCTCGCTTGAGACATCCTCACAAAACCGGCCCGGGGGAGGTGCCCAGAGGAGCCCAGAGCGGCCTCCGGCACCGTTTCCGGACAGAGATCCGCTGGATCCGCTGGATCCGGTGACGAATCCCAAACCGGCGCCCTCGCTTGAGACATCCTCACAAAACCGGCCCCGGGGGAGGTGCCCAGAGGAGCCCAGAGCGGCCTCCGGCACCGTTTCCGGACAGATCCGCTGGATCCGGTGACGAATCCCAAACCGGCGCCCTCGCTTGAGACATCCTCACAAAACCGGCCCCGGGGGAGGTGCCCAGAGGAGCCCAGAGCGGCCTCCGGCACCGTTTCCGGACAGATCCGGTGGATCCGTGACGAATCCCAAACCGGCGCCCTCGCTTGAGACATCCTCACAAAACCGGCCCCGGGGGAGGTGCCCAGAGGAGCCCAGAGCGGCCTCCGGCACCGTTTCCGGACAGATCCGGTGGATCCGCCGACGAATCCCAAACCGGCGCCCTCGCTTGAGACATCCTCACAAAACCGGCCCCGGGGGAGGTGCCCAGAGGAGCCCAGAGCGGCCTCCGGCACCGTTTCCGGACAGATCCGGTGGATCCGGTGACGAATCCCAAACCGGCGCCCTCGCTTGAGACATCCTCACAAAACCGGCCCCGGGGGAGGTGCCCAGAGGAGCCCAGAGCGGCCTCCGGCACCGTTTCCAGACAGATCCGCTGGATCCGGTGACGGCCAAACCGCGCCCTCGCTTGAGACATCCTCCGGCCCCGGGGGAGGTGCCCAGAGGAGCCCAGAGCGGCCTCCGGCACCGTTTCCGGACGGATCCGCTGGATCGGTGACGAATCCCAAACCGCGACATCCTCACAAAACCGGCCTCCGGGGGAGGTGCCCAGAGGAGCCCAGAGCGGCCTCCGGCACCGTTTCCGGACAGATCCGGTGGATCCGGTGGATCCGCCGACGAATCCCAAACCGGCGCCCTCGCTTGAGACATCCTCACAAAACCGGCCCCGGGGGAGGTGCCCAGAGGAGCCCAGAGCGGCCTCCGGCACCGTTTCCGGACAGATCCGGTGGATCCGGTGACGAATCCCAAACGGCGCCCTCGCTTGAGACATCCTCACAAAACCGGCCCCGGGGGAGGTGCCCAGAGGAGCCCAGAGCGGCCTCCGGCACCGTTTCCGGACAGATCCGATCCGCTGGATCCGGTGACGAATCCCAAACCGGCGCCCTCGCTTGAGACATCCTCACAAAACCGGCCCCGGGGGAGGTGCCCAGAGGAGCCCAGAGCGGCCTCCGGCACCGTTTCCGGACAGATCCGCTGGATCCGCTGGATCCGCTGGATCCGGTGACGAATCCCAAACCGGCGCCCTCGCTTGAGACATCCTCACAAAACCGGCCCCGGGGGAGGTGCCCAGAGGAGCCCAGAGCGGCCTCCGGCACCGTTTCCGGACAGATCCGGTGGATCCGCTGGATCCGCTGGATCCGGTGACGAATCCCAAACCGGCGCCCTCGCTTGAGACATCCTCACAAAACCGGCCCCGGGGGAGGTGCCCAGAGGAGCCCAGAGCGGCCTCCGGCACCGTTTCCGGACAGATCCGGTGGATCCGGTGACGAATCCCAAACCGGCGCCCTCGCTTGAGACATCCTCACAAAACCGGCCCCGGGGGAGGTGCCCAGAGGAGCCCAGAGCGGCCTCCGGCACCGTTTCCGGACAGATCCGGTGGATCCGCCGACGAATCCCAAACCGGCGCCCTCGCTTGAGACATCCTCACAAAACCGGCCCCGGGGGCGGTGCCCAGAGGAGCCCAGAGCGGCCTCCGGCACCGTTTCCGGACAGATCCGGTGGATCCGCCGACGAATCCCAAACCGGCGCCCTCGCTTGAGACATCCTCACAAAACCGGCCCCGGGGGAGGTGCCCAGAGGAGCCCAGAGCGGCCTCCGGCACCGTTTCCGGACAGATCCGGTGGATCCGGTGGATCCGCCGACGAATCCCAAACCGGCGCCCTCGCTTGAGACATCCTCACAAAACCGGCCCCGGGGGAGGTGCCCAGAGGAGCCCAGAGCGGCCTCCGGCACCGTTTCCGGACAGATCCGGACAGATCCGGTGGATCCGCGCCCCGGGGGAGGTGCCCAGAGGAGGAATGAGGAGGAGGAGGAGGAGGAGGAGGAGGAGGAGGAGGAGGAGGAGGAGGAGAAGATGATGGAGCTGCGGGGTGGAGGAGGACAGACGGAGGCAAGAGAAGGATGGAGGAGGAGGAGGAGGAGGAGGAGGAGGAGGAGGAACCTCATCCTCACCCTCGCCAACAAGCGCACGCACCTTCTTCTATATACAGAAACTCCCGATCAACCGCAGAGCGGCCGGCTAGTCGCTGCGAAGGCACGATTTCGAGTGGAGCACCCCTACTTTGGTGACCAGGGATCGAGCCGCCTGGATTACATATGCCTGCCTGGTGGATTTCAAGACTCTATTGTCAAAAGTCATGCGATGAGGGGCCTCGGAGCCAAACTACAACAGATTTAAGCTACCCCCCACGTGACCACCTCCCTGTGTGCCTATTACTTCGTCATAATAAAGCAGGAGAGGTACGGGAGGAGGCACGTGTACGATGGGATGCTGATCGTACGATGCGAAGCCTGAGAACTGGGAGGGACGGTGGGATGTTTTACGTTCCGCTCATGTTGAATTCCAGCTCGGGAGCTACTCGACTGGTCCTCCCCAGAGACTATGTTCGAACGGGTGGAGGAGGCTATCATGAGGGCGGGTAAACTACACTTCGATGGGGAAGCAGGAGGTCAGGGCAGGGTGTAATGAAGCTTGTAAGAGAAGACGTGAGTTCCTTTAGCTTAGAGTACATTTTCGGGGAGGTAAGCTCTACGCCATTGCTGAACAAATCTCGTCCATCGATGACGAGCTGAAGCACCTCTCTCGGATACTCCAGCAAGACCGTCGTAAGTACCTGCGCGCTCACCGTGATGCCCTTCTTTCCGAGGCGAATGATCACTGGGACAAGCGACGTACGGCAGAGGCTATGCAACTGTCTAAGTGAGCGGCTCGTTGCCGCTAGGGTCCAAAGAGACGGGATTCTCGCTTAGCAGGCAGAAATGCGTTGCCGTCCTCAGAGGAGTGGCTACAGGTCTGGAGCAACCCTGGAAGGGAAGGAGGTATGAAGGTGCAGGAGATGGACTGGGAGGCCTGGAGGAACGAGAGGGAGGAGGCGGAGGAGTTCAGGGACGACGATGACCCCGACGTGGCCGCCCTTGCTGAACAAGACATGGAGGAGTTCCGTAATTACGTACCCTATGTCCCGAAACGTCGTGCTGTCCCGCAGGGTACCTGCCCGCTCGAGCTTTTCCACAGGCTTTTGTTCCCAAAGTGGAGGGTTGACCGTTCTCGACTGGGCGTGGGGGCCGATGACGAAGCTCCTAGGGTACCCAGTTTCTGGTTCCTCATGATTGCAGGCATCCACAAGATCAGACGACATTATATAAAGACCCTAGGCGTGCTAAGATCTCCGGTGACTGCTTTACAATCTTTCTACTTCGCGCGCGCTGGGCGGCCCCTGGGGGCCCCCAGGCGGAAAGTACCCCGGCAAGGTCCCGAGAGAGTCCCGGGAGGAGTCACCAGGGCGCTCCAGCAGCGCACCAACGCGGCTCCGAGACGTCCCCGAGAGCCCCAAGAAGGGCCAAGAGGCTTCCAAGAGGCCCCCAAGATGCTACATGATGGGTCCGAGATGCCACAAGATCGCTCCAAGACGCCCACGATGGCCCCCAGACGCCCC